ACTGATATCTTAATATGATACAAAGGAAACAAAGGGAAATAATTTTGCTAATGACAACTGCATTATTTTAAGTACTTCATTAGGTTGGCACAAAGCAAGCAATTAAAAATACTGAAACCATATTCCAGTAAAATGCTGGATGGGTAGGCTTTGGAGAGATCAAAGGACAAATCTTAGATATAAATTTGTAACTACAAAGTGCTAAAGCAATATGGCAGATTAAAAAGAAAAACCCAAACTCCAATGTCAACCTCCACTTTTAAGTTGATGCCAGATGTATTCCCTGTGGCACCAGGCAACTCATTTGTATCCTTGGATGCCCTTCCACTGTCATGGGCACAAACCCCCACTTCCAACATTACACAGGGACTGCGTTAAATCTGACAAACAGACAACTGACTGTAGCTCAGATAGCAAGTGAATGCAAATCACACGTTAAGCACAGTTCAATATTTACACTTTTTTCAATGAAAGTTAACAAGGGGAGGACATGAAATTTTTGGTGTTCACTCAGGAATCAGGCAGGTAAAACCAAACCTGGTAAAATTGCTCTTGCTTTCTTTGCAGATGTGCCTCATGACTCAGTCATAAGAAACATGACTCTGTGTTTAGCATGCCAGAACTAGAGATCATTGCATAGAGCAGAACTTCTGTCACTGCTGGGAATAATTCTGATATGGTAAAGGTACCTTGACTACCATTCAACTACCAACTACAACCTGCCTAAAGCTTCTGTGTGAAACTCTGGTCTCTGAAATAAAGATCTCTCAATGCTGCCAGGGTGGGAACTTGCTCCAGTCAGACTAACTGGGAATGTGGACAACTCTTGCTTGTAGAGTATTTTAAGTTCTGTAGAAAGTAAGAGGATTCAACAAACCAGAAATATGGATGAGGGAGAATAAATTCATGTTTTCCAGGGTGTTTTAAAATTGTGTTAGAGCAAGCTACGTGCAAGTTCTGCTTTGGGTCTCTACAGAGTACATGTCCCAGCTTCTGGGAAGTCCTGGTCCATCTTTTGGCTGGCCCGTGTCTCCTTTTAACCCATGAAACTGATGGTTTGTCTTTCCATTCCATTCCATTTCAAGGAGTGTAACAGAGTGAGATTTGAGGAAGTGCACAGAGGAAACCTCAAAACAAAGGGGAATCTTTAAGCTAATTAAAGCTGCTCCCTTGTTAGTTTTGTAAATAAGCATTTCAAATGAATAACCTGCCAAACACCTGCTGCCTAACAATGAAACTGGAAACTTATTTCAATGTTACTTCCAATTACATTGCTCAACTTTGGAATGCTGCATCAAACTAGTTCAAAATTCCAGTGACTGTTTTAGGAATTGATGGACAAGACTGTCATTAACTTCAGCTCCTGTGTGTACAGCAGGCCAGGATGAAGTTGGAGGTTTCCTGTCTGCAGAGTAATATAAAGTTCATAGATACTCCTACTGGTATAACTGTATTTTCACTACAGCTCTACCCATCTTTCAAAGAGAAAGACTTCCTAGGCAGAAAAACAATGGTGAGAATAAAGCTGGAAAAAGCTCTGGGAGCTGGGAAGATGTTGCACAGGGAACTCTGAGGACTGTAGGAAAGTAGGCAAGCCTTTGACATGAGAAGTTTTGCCTGCAAGTGTTGGAGTGCTTGAGGTACAGGTGTATGTTTACACTGACCACAAACACGAGTTTCATAACTCTGTAATTGTTTTGGAGTTAATACTGCCAGTTAATGTTGTCTCTTCTTGCTTATGTTCACTGTATTACCTTGTTTCAGGAGACTTCTGAAGAACAGCCTTAAAATGAAGTTCATGGAAAAACTTATCCTAAACTGATAAACAGAACAAGAATGTGTTGAAAGGGTAGGTGAGGGTCAAGTGAAATGCCCTCTGCAGCTTGACAGAGTAACTCTCCCATCTTCCAGGGAGGAAAAAAAAAAGGCATAATCGAATTTCATGCGTTTGAGATCACGGGACCAGATGTGCATAAATACTTTCAGAAATAAGACTTGGCAACACTTCACACAAATGGATCTTCAGTTACCAACTGGGCTGATGTTGCTTGTAGCCAAACAAGTGTATTTTCATAGCACTAAAGTACCTGTAGATATTATGTTGGGTGTAACAACTGCTGTTCAGACAAGTGCCTTCAGAACAGTTTGCTGATAAACACACAAGCTCTGTTAGCAAATATTGTCCCTGAACAAGTGATGAGCTCTGTTTGTTGTCTGCTTTCAAAATTTTTCTGCACCATATTTATTGGACTGTTATTGTTCAATATTAACTGGTGCCACAAAAATTCTTAGGATACGTGTAATAACGTGCAATATTCTCATTTTCCTGCAAGCACCAAATATATTTCCCTTGGTTTTAATATTTTTCAAATAGCAAAATCCATGAGAAGAGGGAATAAATGTTCCTGGCTTGGACTTTGGGACATTAGTCACAACATGCTTCTGCACTAGTGTCATAGAGGAAGGAAAACCTATCTTTGCATTGAAATTAGAGGGTGGACTTAGGCTATAATTTCATTTCCACATGCCCCAGTCATCCAGCATGCCCCAATGAGTCTGAAAGCTTGTAATTAACCCCTTCTCAGGAACGAGAATTGTTTGAGGAAACTCTGATTACTCAATGCAAACTGGACTTCCAGCTAGAGTGTCTGCTGTCGTGTTAAAATTAGGGATTATTTTGGAAGCCAGCTTCCTCAGTGATGCTTCTGGCCCTAGCAACTGTTCTTGCCTCCCAAGGCATCCCTTGCACACAGCCCCTGGGTGCAACGCCAGGGGCTCCTCTCTTGTGCTAAATGCAAGCTCAGTTTGAAGTACCAAGGTTGCAGGATGTGCTTAAGCTGGTGGAGCTGAACTCCCTCCCTTGGGGGAGCAGAGGGGAAAGTTTTCAGGTACTCAAAGTACAAACTGAACAGTTTTTCAGAGCACGTTTCTCTCTTCCTTTCTATTAATTAAATGAGTACATGCAGCAGTAGGGTGGCTGGCAGATAAAGCATCTCTAAACTGCAGCAGGCTCTGGAACAGAGGCCTGCCCTTGGGCAGGGGAAGGGGAGGCTGAGCTGATGTCTCCTTGCAGGGCCCGTGGTCACAGCTGGCCATGAGCAGCTTCCTGTGGGGATCCTGCAGTGTCTCAAGGCTCCCTCACCAATGAGGAATGCCTGCTCAGCCTCTCTTCTGCTTTACTAAAGGCAACATAGATGTTTCTCAACTTGCTAAAAAGTTTCAGTTATGAAATGCTTCTCCAGACTTTCCTGTTTGTCAGACTTTGCACTACGTGGCCCCTGTGGCAACTCTCAATGTACTCTACCAAGTTTTTGGAGAAGTGTGGTCCAGATTTTGACTTAAACTGCCCTGCCAGAAGTAATTATTTTTTTTTTTTGCAAGGACAAACAAAGAAAGACTAGACTTGACACGCTTCAACACAGACTGCAGAGTGCTTCTAATAAAGTTTCTTGTCCATGCTATGGCTGCTTGACACCATAGTTTGTTGTCTGACATCCTTCTTCTCAAAGAGCAGAAAGCATTTTCTCTTTAAGACAGCAAACAACAAAAAGTATAATTTCATTCAGAGTTGGACAAAGGCCTTTATGTAAATTCTGCTATCCAATAAAGACTATGTACAAACACATGCAAAAAGCACTTAGAAGTTTGCTCCCTAGGCTTAACTTTCAAGGCACTTCTCACTTCTACCAACTGCTTCGTCTGGACTTGTCAGGAGCTTATTCTTCTAATTGCCAGCACAAAAGGTTTTTAATTTATGTTTTGACAGCTAAAATACTACATCTTCATAAATACAGAGAACTGTCAGTAGTGCCAGTGCAGAAGGAAAGGAACCAGATGCAGTACTAACAGCTGGGGGAGACTGCAATGATTCTATAACAAGTTAAGAAAAGCATCTGCTTATAGTTTGATAAAAGCTATCTGTCTAAATCCAACCTAGAAAATCAGATCCCGCTACAGCTGGCATAGAGATTATGAGCATCTCACAGAACAAAAAAACTCCAGCACCCTGTTTAGAAATAATAGGTTTAGATCAAGAGCATATTTCCTTCACTTCTGTCCTTTTTATTGTAAAAAAAGAAATATAAACCAACTCACAATAATATTCTGATGTCTAAAGGTCAAGATAGCAAGCTTGCATTTGCCTTCAAAGCTTAGAAGAATTTACTTCAGTAAAATATTCCACATGTAATATAAAGCTACTCTATTTCTCACACCCTTAGTCTGAACACGGGCCTTTAGGTCGAGCCTTTCTCTACTTTGCTGAAATCCTGGGTTGGAAGGTGCACAAAGGCTCTCTCCTCTCCTCCGAGCTCAGATCTATCTCATTTCATCAGCTTTAAATTCACATCCAGGTACCACAGGCATAAAATCAGAATGCTTTTTGAAAGGCACAACATGAAAAGTTTTTAAACGAGCTGCACAGAAAGGCATTTACACGCAGAATACGTCAGCAATAAAAGACACCGCACGACCAACACATGTGCCAGTACCTCACGGTATGACAAGGAACAAGGCGTTTGGCAGCTCCTGGACCTGACGACCAGGTATTTCCTTTCCAAGCAGAGGTGCTTAAGCGCAGGCCGGAGGGAAAGGGATCAGATCCTCCTGGCGCAGAGCTGCTTCACCTGCCCTCTGTAAGCTGTCCTCGCTGCGGCTGGGGGGCTGCCGCTGCCCCCGGCCCAGCCCCTCTCGGCACCGGAGGGGCGGTGGTCGCGGCCACCCGGCTGAGGACTCTGCCCGCGGGGACCCCTCACCCGCAGGGCAGGGACGGGACCCCGGCCCCGGCGTCACGGGCCCTGTCGCTGTCCCCGTCCCCCCGCCCAGCCGGCCCAGGGCCGGTCCCAGCCCTGAGGGACCCTCCCGCCGCCGCCGGGCTGCGGACGCCATGGAGAACCGCGTTGCCATGGCAACCCCCCCCTCCCGCCCCAGGGGCCTCGCCACGGCGGGGCGGCGATCCCCGCGCCCCCCGCGCCGCCTCACGGCCCCCGCACGGAGGATACAGCTTGAAGCCGCGGAGGATCTCCTTGGCCCGCTCGTCCGTGGCCGACATGGTCCTGCCGCGCCGCGGGCGGGCGGACGGGGCTGGGCCGGGCCTGGCGGGAGCGCGGCGGTGACAGCGGAGCCTCAGGACCCCCCGCCCCTCCCTCCCGCGCACCCGCCACTGCCCGGCGCAACCAACCCCAGCGGCCGCCGGCGGCCGCCCGCCGCCGCGCCGACCAATCAGCTTCTCCGTCCCCTCCTCGCCCCGCCTTCCGGCGCAAGAATGACAGCGCCACTGACCAATCAGACAGCGCTCTCCCTCATTCAAGGGTGGGTGCGCAGCGGTCGCCGAGACGCTTCGGTTGGGCCTGACGTGGCCGCGATGGAGGCGCCGCAGGATGGCCGGGCCGGGCCGGGCCGGGGAGCGGGCGGGCCCCGGAGGCCTCAGCGGGGAGCAGCTGAGGGGGTGAGAAGCCGCCCCGGGCCTGGTCAGCGGCGGCCGAACGGCCCCGAGGCGCTGGAGCTTGGCTGGCGCTTCTCCCCGGGCAGTCCCGGGGTTTCGTGTTTGGAGCTCCGCCCTTGAGCTCGGCTGGCGCTGGGCACCCGGAGCAGCTTCTGCTGGAGACCCCCCGAACCCACCTGGACGAGTTCTGTGTCACCTGCTGCAGGTGGCCCTGCCTCGGCAGGGGGCTGGGCTGGATGCTCGCCCGCGGCCCCTGCCAGGCCTGGCAGCGCTGTGGTTGTGCGTGCCCCGAGCCAGCGGCAGCAGCAGGGTGGAGAAGGTGTAAGATAAATAGTGTGCTACCCGCTGGAACAAAGGCAGCCTTCTTTGTGCTGCAGAAATTTGAATCACAGATCAGTTTGAGTTAAGGAAGGGACTTAAAGACCATCCAGATGGCCTTGGCCACATCCAGGGATGGGGCATCCACAGCTTTGCCAGGCAACCTGTGTCAGTGCCTCAGCGCCCTGACAGGAAATAATTTCATCCTTATATCTAATCTAAATCTGCCTTCTGTCATTTTGAGGCCACGCCCCTTGTTCTATCACTAGAACTCTATTGCCTTGTGAAAAGTCCCTCTCCAGGTTTCTTGTAGGACCCCTTCAGGTACAGAAAGTCCTGAATTATGTCACCCTGGAACCTTCTCCAGGCTGAGCAATGCAAATTCTTCCAGCCTTTCATCAGAGAGGTGCTCTAGCCCTCTAATTATCTTCATGTTTGTGTAGCAGAGTTGATTGTGGCGGGAAAAGTCTCGGGTTTGTTAGCACATCCCACGAGCCAGGCTGCTCTTTAACATGAGCAAATTAACCCCTCTCTTAACCATCTGAGTGCAACTGATAAAAGCATTAAGTCATGGTAAAAATAAAGGCAGCAGTTGTAACCCAGTCCTCAAATGAGGACCAGTGAACAGTCAGGGTGCCATCAATACCCTCACTCATGGCTCCACTTGCCTCCAAACCACCCACTGTACGAAAGTGCAGAATGTGAGTGTTCATAAAGGCTGCATTTAATGCAGAAGGGCAAGGCCACTGCCAGTGTCACTGACAAGAGATCGTAATAAAAATAGGCAGCATTTATTTTCCTGATGTATGTGATCCATGCTCAATTTCCCACCATCAGTTTAAGTGTATGAAGAGGTCATTTTGAGTCTGGGCAGAGTGCCAGGGGTGAGCTGGGCAAATATATATATCTATATTTTGTGAAGAGTCCATCCTGGATTTTAGCTAGGCTGTGGCATTGCATGCTGTCTGAAGAGGAGGGACTAAAGATCACTGAGGAGAAAAGGCAAACAAGACAAAAGCAGACCTGGAAAAGGCAGAAACAAATGGTTGTATGTAGGAAATGAGGTCCACTGCCAGGTGGAAGTAGGACATGCTGGTTTACAGAAGTTGTAAGAAACTCCATCCTGTCTCTCCTCAGAAATGAAGGAGCCAGGGACCAAATAGATCTCATGGAAAGGAACTCCTGCAGCTTTGAGGGGCTTCTCTAGCACAGGGGTAGGGATGTTTGTGGAGTTCTGAGTTGGAGCCTTTGTGTTTCCTGGCCAAGTCTCAGAATTCCCAAAGCTGCCTTGCTGTGCTGGGAGGCAGAGGCCTCTCCTTCGTGGACTTCTGAAAACCACAGAAGAGCTCACAGCTGAAGTGGGAAGCTCCTGTGGCTGCTGCAGGGCCAGGCAGCTGTGACAGCACAGCTCAGAGTGACAAAACCCTGGCATCTCTCAGAGCCCTCAGGCTGCATTAACACAAACAGCACTCCTGAGCACATCATCTGAAAAATCTCCTTGCAAGAAAATTGCTGCAGCCCTTGGCACCCTCTGTCCTTTGGTGCCACTTGGAACTGAAAACTTTTCCTTCAGGCCTCTGGCAGCTTCTGAGCTACCAATGCAGGGAGAAGATGCCTCCAGCCTGTTTTCTGCTTCTCCAGCTGCAGGTAAAGGAGCTGGTGTTTCTGCAGAGCAGCAAAACTGGGAGATAGTTTCGTAAACCAGGGCTTCATCCCACCCCATGCTTGATGGAAGAGGTTGTAAACTTCACATCCACAACCACCCAGACATCACTCCTTGCCTGGCTGAGATGAGAGTCCAGCAAGCAGCTGAGTCCCTGGATCCTGGGAAATAAAGAGAGTTTGGAAACTTTTCAGCAGGGCCTGGGAGCTGCCCTGCATTGTGCTCTGGAGGTGTGTGCTGCTGCAGGGAATGAGGATGAATGGATGTGCACACACAGGTGAGTAATGAAATATAAGGAAAACTACGAGAAACACAAAAGTGTTTTCACTGTTGGCCCTCTCCTTGGTGAGGTCAGGTGTGCTCAAAGTCTGGGGGTCCAGGAGCCCTCTGCTTTGGGACATTACTGTGGCAGTGCAGGGAAATAAGGTGAATTGTGTGCTGCCTGAAAGGGACCTGGGCTGCAGAATCACAAGGGGAAGAGGTGGGGTGAGTCAAGAGATAATGCCAACATTAAAAGATAAAATGGATTAACATCTCCTGGCACACAGAGCTGCGTGGGTGGAGCAAGAGGTTGCAATAGCTGTTTAAATGGGAATGAGACAGCTGGACATACACATATTTTTCCTCTTAAAAACAAAAATCCATCCCAAAAGCTGAGCTTAGCTGGTGCTGTCCTCCAAAGTCCAGGTCAGTCAGCCAGGCTGGCTGGCTGTAATCAGGACAGGGACTCCTGGCTGACCTACATGGGGCTAACAGATGATTTTTGCCCACAGGCTCTAGCAAAAGGTTGCAGAATCCATGGAAAATAGCTCACAATCATATATTTCCATTTCTGTTTCAGCCTGGAATTCAAGCTTTAGCGAGTGTTGGGAAAAAGGAGGCCACGCTGCTTGTCCAAGGCAACTGTTCCAGCATGTCTGCAGATGACAGGAACCCTGGGGAAGGGCCTGGTTAGGATGTGATTAAAGAGGTAATTCTCCCTCCCTGTGCAGATGAGGGCTAAGTGTGGCTTAAGCAAATTACTGCCTGGCTTGTTATAGCCTGGCTGAGTTCCCTTGTTGTGCAGGGCCTGGCTTTTTACATCCAATTTGCTTTGAAGCCCAGAGTGTCACAGCAGCATTCCAGCACCTGCATCTCTGCACTTGTCTGACACCCCTTCTGTGATGGATGATGGCACCCATGGGACATGCTGTAGATGGCTCTGAGGCACAGGCTAAGCCCCATCAGTTTCCCTAATAGTTTCTGATGTTCATTCCTTGAAAGTTCCCCCCTCCTGACCATGCTGGTCCATGATTTGATCTTCAGGGACTTGCTGACTGAAAGCCAGAAGCACTTTGCTCTCAGCTGAAGGATTTTTAGCAGAGGCACGTTTAATTCACAACATGGCATGGATGAGCCTACAAACCTTTGGGGATGTTAACAACCCCCAATTCCCTCTTGTTTCCACCCTCATTCTGATACCCTTTCAAGCATCTTTTGGCTCCTGATCTATGTCCTGTGGAGGATTTAACCCTTCCAGTCCCCTCCCTGCTCCCCCATGTCACAGCCAGAGTTCTGCCCTTTGGTTTATGGATCATTTTTCTGTGGGGTTCAAAATCAGTTCTATCTTCACTCCAGCCCAGGAGGACTGGCCCAAGAGGCTCAGCTCGTGGAATCGTGGAATATCCTGAGTGGGAAGGGACTCACAAGGATGATGGAGCCTAACTCCTGTCCTTGCACTGGACAGCCCCAGGAATCCCACCGTGTGCCTGGGAGTGTTTCCAAACACTCCTTGAGCTCTGCTCTTGGGGCTGTGATCACTTCCCTGGGGAGTCTGTTCCAGTGCCCTGTGCAATCATTCAATGTAATAATGGCCCTATTTCTAATAAGGAAGTGGCCTTACAACAGCAGCCCTTTGCACGGGTTTTTTTGGGGTGCAAACCCCTGTGATGCTGCCACAGGGGTACCCCCTAAAAGAGAGGCAGGAATTTTACTTGCTTGTGCTGGAGTAGCATCGGAGCAGCTGTTCCATCATAAGCCTCCCATCCCGGTATCCCGGGGATGCCGGGCGCGGCTCCCGCTCCCTGCGGCCGCCGGGGATCGGCCGGAACGTTCGGCGCGGCCCGCGCGTTCCGGGGGGAAGGAGCCGCGCGCGGACACCGGTGCCGCCATCATGGCGGCGTGAGGCGCGGCGGGCTGGGCGCCGGGAGCGGCGGGACGGGAGGCCGGGAGCGGAGAGGTAATGCCGGGGCTGGGAGGAGCCTCCCGGGAGCAGGGGCGGCGGGGGGGGACCCGCGGAAAGTTACCCCTGCGGCAGGGCTCGGTGCGGCCCGAGGGCTCTGCCAGGGGTCTGGGGAGAGCGGCAGGGCCGGGAAACCCCCGCCTTGCTGCTGCCGGGGCTGCGGGCCGCTTCCCGCCCTGAACCTCCCTGAGCTGCCTTAGAAAGGCCTGACCGCCAGAGAAACCCGGCTTGTCCCCCTGCTGGGGTTGTTGTAGCCTTTGGACAAGCTGCGTTGGAGTGTCTGCTGTGTTTCAGTCACTCCTCACCGGGGTACATCGGCTGTGGAAGCAGCGAGGTGCTCGCTGTGACACGGGTGTGCACACAGGCTGCCATAGCACCGCGGTTGTCCCACCATTTACTTGGACAGGGGCAGAGAATTGGCATCCCTTTCCCAGCAGGGCATGGCTGCAGCCAGCCAGTCTTTTGTAACCTCACACACCAGCGTGGTTTGATTACCTGTGAGGGAGGACAATGGAACTGTGAGATCTGAGTCTCATTCCCAGCACAGTCAAT